AATGGCTCTGACATGATTTTTGAATATTGTTACATTATATTAGTATACGACCGTTACATAAAATCAATGACCATATATATAAATATTTTCATCTCTCCTTCTCCAGTATCTTCCTTTATTTGGGTATTAATGTTTTGTTTGGCAGGTAATAGTGGAGAATGGGGAGAAAGGGTCAGAAGGGGTAGGGCACCTCATTTACATAGGCAGAGAGAAGCGACGAAAGCATCGACATCACTTCAAGGCTGGGGCCATGAATACTCTGGTATTTCTCTCACCATGCCTTATACTACAACCAAAGCTTTGTCCTTACTTAAGATTCGTTCGCATGTTATACTAAACAAAACAAACATATTTAATGAGGAGTCTTTTATCCATTCCTTGACTGCTTCATGTCCTTGCCTTAAATTAAGGCCTAGTATACTGGGAGTCTCGTTGATGTAATGCAAGGGCCACCAAAAATGGGTAGACATAAAAGAACCGCCATCGATTACAACTCACAAATTTTCTAGAAAAAATTACAAAAATATAAGGGTTTTAAAATGGAAAAGAAACTATTTTAGGAAAATATAAAGAACAACACTTCTTTATTTTCAAGTTTAAAAATAGTTTCGTGGTTTCTATAAGGTTGCAACCTTAAACAATCCAATTAAAGCACCAAATTGTATCATAACTTGTAATTTGGGTGAAAAAATTATTGGGATTATCTCAAGGGAAAAGTTTATTCAAATTAAAGCCTACCTCAAAAAATTTCACTAAAAGAGGTTGTTTTGATGCCCAGATATCTTCAAATTGATCATCTCGACATCAAGATGTATGGACATGAGAAAATATAGATTTCAAGTTTTGGAAAAAGTGTATTTTGTAACGCATTTTGGGACTATCAATTTTCAAGATTTTTCAGGTTTTCATAGATCTCTCGATCTACACTATTTTTGAAGCTTTAGACTTTATAAATAAAGATAAAAATATATTTTAAGGCTATCACAAATATTTTCAGTATTGAAACAACATTTCTCGATACTATTTGAAGATAGGCTCTATACAAACCGCTCCTTTATTTCAAAATCTATTTTCATATCTAATTATAAAATTTTAAACTTCAAAAATGGTTAAAATCAAGTAAATCTATAAACCTATGAAACTCTTGAAAATAGACGGTCTAGATAATATTTTCAAAGATGCATTATTTTTGAGACCCAAAATCTTTTTTTTCTCCATATTCATACATTTCGATGTCGAGATGACTAATTAGACTTTTTTCAACATTAAAACAACATTTTCCGATGGATTTTTGAGGTGCATCTGTAATTCTACATCTTAAGTTGAAACCTTATATGAACTTTTTCCTTCATAGATTTTATAGTTTATAATTAAACTAGTGAATTTTAAGGGTGTGGTTTGCAGGTTGCAATCTTAAACAATCCGATTAAGACGCACCTCAAAATTTATCATAAATGTAATTTTGATATAAAAAATTCCTAGGATGGCTTAATACTCTATTTTTATATCTAATAATAAAATTTTAAACTCTAATAATGGTTCAAATGAAGTAGATCTATAAACACGTGAATCTTAAAAATGGACGGTCCAGATAATGTGTTGCAAGATACATTATTTTGTGGACTCGAAATCTCTTTTCCTTTTCATATTCATATATCTCGATATAGAGATAATCAATTAAAGGGTTTCCCATCATCCAAATATCCTTTTATGATGGATTTTGAGGTGCATCTTTAATTCTACATTTTAAAGTTGCAACCTTATATAAATGTTTTCCCTTTAATTTTATATCTCTTTGTTATATATTAGATTCGGATCAAATTTTAGTAGGTTGATACTTAAATTTAGTAGTTCAATACTTTTCACCATCACACATCTACAAAAAATATTTTGAAAAGAATTTAAATTAAATAAATTATCAAATCACCACATAATATATTGCGGGTATTTAGTCATCTATTATTTTAATATTATGTTTTACTACTTTTATAGGGTATGATGGTTTAAATTAAATAAATTATCAAATTACCACATAATATATTGCGGGTATTTAGTCATCTATTATTTTAATATTATGTTTTACTACTTTTATAGCGTGTGATTGTGAAAAATATTAACACAAATAAAATTGAGCTTAATATGTTGTATAAAAAAAGAAATAACATTAAAATATGTTTTATGCTATAAAAAAAATGAGACTAAACTGTAAAATATTAAATATATGAGATAATTTCAAAATAAAATAATATTTCTTTTAACCAAATAATTTTATGAGAAAATTTATTACTTTATGAAAATTGTTATTTATCTTTATAAAAAAAGGAATGAAATAAAAAAATATTTTTGTCATAATTTATGGAAAATATAGCGAAATAAATAAGGACAATTTATTTAAAATTTGTAATAACTTGATATAATAAAAAGACTAATTAGAGACTGAAATAGTTAGTAATTGAAAGAAATGAACTGAAAATTGTGACAATTAGGAAAATGAAAGCGATCTTATAATCCAGCATAACATGAAAATTTTACAAGTTGTGGTTTTCGCTAATAAGAAATAATAAGACAAAAACTGTTTAGAATGTGTAATACTTATAAATACTGAGCAATAATAAGAAAAAATTACATAAACAAATAGAAGGGAAACACATTCAATGGGACTGTTACCTTTGGTATTTTTATTTACTATTGAATTACAAAAATATTAATTTATAAGTTTTATTTTTCTTTCATTAATATACATAAGACATCGATATGACCATCCATTATTTTATGGGACAGATTGGGTGATCGAGAAACAACATATCTATAGGACAAGCGTAGTTGAGATGATGATGTTGAGATGGATGAGTGCCAAGACAAGAAAGAATCAGAGTTGGAATGAATATATGAGAGTGAACTTAGGTGTGGCTTCAATAGGCGATAGGATGATGGAAAGCAAACATCGATGGGTTGGCCATGTGCACTGTAGATGTAATATAGTACTAGTTAGAATGTGCGATTTGGTTCAAATGGAAGACTCTAAAGGGAAATGGGAAGGCCCAAAAGGATATACATAGAAATAATGGAAAATATATGGTCTTTTGGTCCTATTACGGGTGTGGTCGTTGATAGAGAAGGTTGAAGGAATAAGATTCATGTAGCCGATCCCAAATAATTGGGATAAGGCTTGGATGATTATAATGATAGTGATGACGATATACAAAAGATCATATTTTAACTTTTATAAGATGATGGGGTTATTAATATTGAGAGTAGATTAGAAATCAAAAGCTATGTTTTGCAATGGGTTTCTTAAATGGATGTAGTTTCTATAAGGCGTAGGTTTTATGAAACAAAATAAAGTTTCACTTCAAATCCGTGCCTAGAAAGTACTTTAAGCATTGGAAGTGTCCATTGTGCCGCTAAAATCAATTTTCAACATTGACTATGACATTTAAGGCTAAAAACTGAGTCAAATCTTGCGGATCCATGAACTTCTTGTCAGGGCGAAATGGATTATTTAGATAATTTGTCACCATATATACTATTTTTAAGGCTTGAGATCCTACTTTTTCTCATAACCACATAGTCAAGGCCAAAGAGGCTTTCCAATGCCAGAGCTACAATTTTCCATGATTTTTGAGGTGAGGCTTTACTTATTTTGATAGGGTTGTAGCCTTATCAAAACATTTTTCCTTTTAAATACCATTATTCCTTAAGGGAAAAATGATGTATACCCCCTCTTTAAAATCATAATCCCAAATTGGCCCCATATCTATAGAAGTCTATAGATACTCTTTAAAATAAAAAAAAGAAAAATGTTTAGTCCGTCTCTTTACTTTTTTTATTGTCTAAACTATGATATTTACTTTTTCTTTTGAGCAAGATTTCTGTTTCCCCTACAACATAAAACTTATATGCTTCCTCTTATCCAAATTTCCATTCTGAATGAAGGCCTAAGATTGCCCCAATCACAATGTCAACTCTCTACACTATTTGATTTTTAATTTTTTTCTATAAATTATTTTGACACTAAATTATGTAGGTCCAATCCTCTATTAAACTCGCACTAGAGAAAAATATAAAATAAATATTTCTAATAAAATAAAACAACCAAAATAGTCTTAAAAATTTCAAGGGATATTTTGGTATATATTTTATCGAAAAATTATTTTTAATATTTTTTAATAGATGCACCCCAATGAGAAGTTGACACATTCCAAATTTCATATTCATAAAATTTGTATATAAAAAAGTAAAAATAAAATACATTGAGTTGTCGGATCTAAGATCAAACAGTGAGTGGCTCTCTTTGATCAAAATTGAACGGCTGGATGGAATGGAAAACATAGATCTTCTATGCTGCAGGGGAAGTATAGAAACCTTTCTTTTTTTTTTTTCTAATAACTGTATCATACAAATGGAATTTGAGATGCTTTTTTTTAGATTGTGAACTTGCTTTCCTTTCTAAAAAGTACCATGTAATATTTAGACAGGATTGAGATGAGAAAATTAGTTAAATTTATATGGTAATAACATATACTAGAATTCTCTCATTTGTGCAGTTTAGAGTGTCTGGGGTGATGACAAATGCTCCCTTCACAATGAATGTTGATTGCGACATGTTTGTTAATAATCCTCGATGCTTCTATGAGGCCTTGTGCTTGCTTTTTGGCTTCGAAAGTGAACGCGATGCTGGTTTTGTTCAGTTTCCCCAAGTCTTCTATGGAGGCCTGAAAGATGACCCTTTTGGAAATCAACTGAAAGTCCTCTACCATGTGAGTTTAATCTCTCTCACTCTTATCCAGTAGGGTTACCTTCTGCATAGAAGCATCAAATATATCCTTAGCTTAATAAATATGGAATTTTATTCATGTAAACCGATGTTTAGAAACCTAGATTGGTCAAGTTAACCAGTCATCTAGGAAATTGGTTCGGATTGGTGAATTATTGATCCAGATCGGCAATTTGGCTGAGAGATTCGGCCAATAAAAAACATTGAAAAAAATAAAAATTGAAAATAACAAATATAAAAAATATGAGAACATGCTGATTCCCTTTCTTTATTTTTTATAATGAAATCAGTAACACTTTTTATTCCATCCAAAAAAAAGTTATTACAACAAATATGATAGCCCCATGGCCACAATTACAAGAAAAAACAACAAAAAAAAGAGCCAAATACAAACCCAGTGCGTATTCACCAGAATTCACAATTATATGACTATTACCAGTGACTTCTGACTTTGCTAAACCATCAGCCTCCATATTGCACTCCCTATATTGCAGTCCCTATAGATATGGCTAAATGTACATTCTATCTCCAAACAATAGTCATTCACCTCACGAATGTGAAACTTCGACGGATATGCAGATTCTTTTTTTTTATGTGGAACTTCCACAGTTGCAGATTCTTTTTTTTATCTATTAAATAATGTTTATAGAATCTCCTTCTACCGTAACTTGTTTTTGGAATCTTTTTACCAATTTAACCCCTTGAGGAACAGCTTTAAGCTCTGGCTGATTCTCAATTCCGATTGTGAACCGGACTGGTTCCCACTGATTCCGTATCTTGATCACTTGATCCAATCCGTATTGGTGTTTTTCAAACACTGATGTAAACCACGGTGGTTTTATTTGATGATTGTAACATGTAACCGTATATACCAATTACATAAGTTTCAAGAAAATGAGGTATGAAAAAAAGAGAGAAAACTTGGAACATGTTTACTACGTATTAAGTGGCGAATTTAAGTATAAACACTTGTGCTGGCAAACGTGTTCGTAGTTATGAAGAAATAGGAATGACAACAGGCTAGGCAGGCCACGGCAGCCTCAGCCAGGCCAACTATAGCCCTAGCTCGGCTCTTGTTCGCATGGACCGGCCCAAGCTTGCCCTGGCCCCTAAAAAGGCTGGGTTGGGCAAAAAACAAATGAAGATAAAATAATAAAAAAAGAAAAAGAAAACAGAGGGTCGGGCTGAGCCGAAATGGGCCAGAACTGACCTTATCTCGGCCCGCAGGCCACAAACTGTGGTGCATGCTATGCTCTTTTGAAGGGTTCTTAGGAATCCCTAGCTTGCAGAATCGGGAATCCTAAATATTGGGATCCCACCCAAGATCATGTATATGGGCTAAATGTAAAGTAGATGAATACAACTATAAATCAAGTGCGAGAAATAAAGCAAATATAAAAGAAACACACCATAACAACATATGATTTACGTGATTCATTACGTATGGTTACATCTATGGCCTCGATAACTAGAAATCCAATATTACAATGAATATTACAGTTTCAGGTTACAAGAGATATCTCTCTCCCTAAATATCGGTAAAAACCCTCATCAATCTTCTCTTCTAAACCAGCTCTCCCGATCAAGTAACACTGTCGATAAATGTCTTCTTTTCCACCGTAATATCGCTATCGGAAAGATGACTTCGAGAGCATTCGAAAAATTTTCTCTCTCTGGAAGTGGAACTAAATCAACAAAAAAACTTCACAAGAATACAACCTCTATCTAAGAGGTCATGTCTCTCTTTATTGGAGACCCATCTCCTCTTTGGAGATCCATTGTCATAACCCCCAAAGGGGTGAACCACAAAAGGATGGATATTATATCTTCTTTGACTATCTTATTTATATATGCGATTGTATACAATGAGACCATTTATCTTTGGAATAGGGAGGTCACAATTACTCACAACCATCCGATATGAAATTTGATAGCATGGATGTGTCACAAAATTTGAGAAATTTATTTTAAACTTTGAGCTTGGTTAATGAAATAAATGTATCCACTTAATTTCACATCCAATGGTCAAGATTAATTGTGACCACCTTGAAAAAAAAGATAAATGCTCTCATTATATAATTTCCCTTTATATATATATATATATATATCACTTTCTCACTTTTAAAAAATACCATTGTTTTTTTTTGTTCTTATATATATATATATATCACTTTCTCACTTTTTAAGAAAATCCATGTTTTTTTTTTTGCCATAATACCCTTTATCTTTTAAAAAAAAAATGAGTATATCACCAAACCCAACACCCCCCGAGTTGCCAACGCTACGAAGAAACAGGCTAACAACCATCATCTAGATGAAAACAAATATGGAAACGACCAAAATTCCCATTACTGCTTCTAAAAGATAGGCGTATTTAAAATAAATTCCAAAACACTGTTTATTCCAATCGTATTTAACTATATTCCAATTTCCAAAGAATTGTTTATTATATAACGAAGTGTGACTCCTCTTCTACATATTACAGATCGATAGCTTAATTCTAATTCGAAATTTGGAATGTTGGTTCATCAATTTCTAATTGATAGCGATTTTATAATGCAGACATTAGGGCGAGGATTTGCAGGGCTTCAAGGCATGCTGTATTCAGGGACTGGTTGCTTTCACAGAAGAAAGGCTATTTATGGAGCACAGCCCCCAGAGCTACCCAATGGAAAAGGGCAACTAACAAAATACATGAATGGTACTATATTCATTTATTGGTTTAATGTTCCAATTAGTTTTCCTTAAGGGTGCGGTTTCTACGAGTAGTCCGACTAATATGTGCGTATACGCCCCCCACTAAAATTCATTTTAGATTTTTTTTTTCTAATTATTATTTTTTTTGTAGATTCGGCCAAAACGATCATAATTATAAAAATAAATAAATTTTTAAACTTAGAAATATAATTTTTTAGTATTTTTTATGTGCCGTCCATATCTTATTTATGAACAATACACTTTTAGATAACGTGCATCTTTAGGATGGATGTTTGTAAGTCAGCGGGCTCTTGAAACAATTTTCATTTCCTTAATGCATTCAATCAAGGGAAAGGTTTCTATACTTCCACTACAGCATAGAAGATCTATGCTTCCCCTACCATCCAACTGTCCGATTTGATCAAGTGAGCCACTAACCGTTTGATCCTAGATCCAATGCCTCAGAGTATTTTATTTTTAATTTTTTAATATAAATTGTATGAATATGAAATTTGAAACTACCATCTTCTCATTGGGGCACACCTATAAAAAATATTAAAAATAATTTTTTGATAAAATATAATGACCGTCGTTTTATTTTATTGAAAATATTTTTTATATTTTTTACAAATGTGAGTTTAATAGAGGATTGGAAGCCCAAAATTTAGTGTCAAAATAATTTATATAAAAAAATAAAAATAAAATAGTCTAGAGATGTGATATTGTGATTGGGAAAATCTTAGCCCTCCATTCAGAATGGACGGTTGGATAAAGTAAAGCATATAAGTTTTATGTTGTAGGGGAACATAGAATGGACGGTTGGATAAGGTAAAGCATATAAGTTTTATGTTGTAGGGGAGCATAGAAAGCTTTCGCTTCAATCAATTCTCTCTTTCTTTTCCATTATAAAATAGTGTTTGAGGCATGTGGTCAAACAAGTTTAGGGCAAGTTTGGATGGACCACTAAGTGAGTTTTGTAATATGATCTTCACCCACCTGTGCAGGAATATTAGCACAAGTTTTGTATCTATCGATTTTGAAACCCTGCTTGAGTAGAAAACACCACTAATTGTAGTAGGAACCCTAAACTTATTTAGTGATTAATTTCTTGATTGAATAAACATGTGCATTCAAGATGATTAAGTGCCATGCACAATGTTAATACAAGCAGAAAATACCTTTTAAGGTGTTTCTTTTGTTTCTACGGTGATTATAAGCACCTCGTGCATAAATACAACTTTGAAAAAGTGTTTAATTTCCAATCTGAATTGTTGATCTGGATAGGAATCAATCAGGATCGAACCGGTTCTGAGATGATAAGGGACCAGCCAATTCCCCCCCTAAAAAAATCCCCTTTTATATTTTCTCCTTTTTTAAAAGTTTGTCTTATAGGTCCCCTTAATTCCCCACCTTATAAACCCTTTGATTTGTATTTTATTTTATTTTTTAAAATATTTTTTGAATCACATATTTAGATAAATCCACATCCAATCCAATCCGGATCATTGATCCAGCAATGTGACAAATCTGTAGGCAAAAGATCTACCCCACTTAAAACACAGTTAGAAACCAAATAAATGCTTTGTATTTCTACAAAAATGGGCCTCAAACATACATCAAACAATACCTTTTTGGCTCAACAAAATGCCACACGTTCGAAACCAAGCACCACATGCTTTACAAATATCGTTTATAAAGATTATTACCTATTTTTGCAGGATCAGATGAAGCTAAAATGGAAGAACTGGAAAGCATATTTGGACACTCTGAAGAATTTTTAAAATCTGTTGTGTGTATCCTCTCAGAAGATGGATACTTGGGCTCCTATAACCCTGTTAGCCTTGCCAGCACCCTAGAAGCCGCACATGAAGTTGCTCGATGCACATACGAGAATCATACACAATGGGGAGACAAGGTGATTTTTCTTTTGAAACAACTTATATAAAGTTGCAACAGTTAAGGTTGCAACCTTAATTGTTCATTTTATTTGGATTTTGTAAATTTAACTCTCATCTTAAAAGATACGTTACTTTTCGATTGTCTTAAAAGACATGTCAAATGGTTAGCCATTTCTCCGATTTGTCCTTTGGTCTTGATTTTAAGATATTATCTGTGAGACATGAATCCAAAATTGCTATGTAAAGAAATCTAGTTTGTTAAATAAAACATCTATATTTTATGAAGAAATACAAAAGAAAAATTGAAACTTAATTTTATATTTCATCCATCAATATTGCAGGTGGGTTTGGTTTATGGATCTACCACTGAAGATGTACTATCAGGACTAAGATTGCACTCCATGGGTTGGAAGTCTGCTTCTTGCACACCCGAACCACCAGGCTTTCTCGGGTGCGCTCCCTCCAGTGGCCCTGAAAGCTTGACCCAAAGTAAGAGATGGGCCACTGGCATTCTGGAAGTCCTAGTCGGAAGCCACAGCCCGTTGCTAGCTGTTGTAACAAAGAAGCTCCAATTCAGACAGTGCTGGGCTTACATAACGATCACTGTATGGGCCTTGTGTTCCCTTCCTGAATTGTGCTATGCAACACTTCCTGCAATTTGCATCCTCACAGGGAGATCCTTCTTGCCCAAGGTACATTGTGGTGCTATAATGAAATATTAGGACTAATTTGTAGCATATGTATGAATATTTAATACTAAGAGGTCTTAATGTACGTTCTCCTAGGAAAATGATGTGTTAAGTGGGATGATCTTAGTATTCTTTTCATATTTATTGGCATAAATAAATCCATTTGAGTATCATTTCATGAAATGAATACATGTGCTTGAATCCCAAGTTCCTTTTCCCAATACATATTCAACCTTTTGTTATCCATATTTCAAAATTAAATTCTTTGTTTTTCTCTATTTATTTCAGCATTTACGTATTTGTTGGTTCATGACCCACGACTGTTGTATTGTGCCTGAAGCTTGTTGGTTGATTCTCATGTATTTTTATAACAGTTAAGAAGCTCTGATCCTTGTGATTATGCCACAGGTAACTCAGTCAGATGCTTTATTTCCGATCAGCCTCTTCATCTTGTTCAACCTTTACAGCATAATAGAGTACTGGCAAATCAAGCTTTCACTAAGGGAGTGGTGGAATAATCAACGGATGGCGAGGATAAATTGCACGAGTGCATGGCTCTTTGGCCTCTTTGATGTGATCCTCAAGCTCCTCCACCTTTCAGAGACTGTATTCGTCGTCACCCCAAAAGATGACCATGGCTCTTCTGGTGATGAGGCCAAAGACCGTGGCAGGTTGACCTTTGACTCATCCCTGCTCTTCTTGCCACCCACCACTCTCCTCCTCCTCAACTTGGCCGCCTTGGGGGCCGGCATTCCGATGTTGACAAGTGGTGACATCTCATTGGTTGGAGAGATGGTGTGTAGCGCATGGGTAGTTGCTAGCTTCTTTCCCTTTGCAAAAGGGCTGGTGAGGAAGGGCAGATATGGATTGCCTTGGTCTACAATTTTCAAATCAGGTGTCATAGCATCCTTCATTGTACATGTTTGTAGATACATTGCATAGAGGGCATGGCTTCCTTCATTTCACATGGGTCTAGACAGGTTCATTCAAAGAGTTCTACACCACATTTAATGAAACATTTGCATTGGTTTACTGTCTTTTAGAGCTCAATTCTATGTAAGCCTTGAAAGGAGGCTCCATAAAAGAGTGAAGAATGTAAAGAGGTTGGCTTACGATTTTGAATGAAGCGCTGCGTCTCTTATTTACTCTCGATAGTGCATGAGGAGGTCTCGACTCCCCGCATTGTGCTCTCTTGTTGAGTTTTTCTCAGTTTTTTCTTTAAAACGCAATTGTATTTGTTAGGTATCAGTTGCTGGTGAATTTCCAACTGCGTCTAGTGGTATCAGAGCATCAGAGCAGTTGATAACAAAAGACTATCTTCTATCCAAGTTCTTGCTAGAAAAAGATAAGCCTTCCAAGACATCTATCCAAGTTCTTGCTAGAAAAAGATAAGCCTTCCAAGACATGGACTGATCAAACTAAACTAAAAACCTAGAATAAACCTATATGTAACAGTTAAACCTAAATAAAAATTCTACCTACATCTCTAAAATTAAATTTTTGTAACAACCTGATATACATAAAAAAAAAAAGAAACGAAGAAAGACTACAAAAAAGTAGAATTTTCATTTTCTATTTTGTAAATACGGAGGAATTCAATCCATTTCAGTACAAGATACATTTGAGGTACTTCTACAACAATCAGGAGGTTACAAATGAAACAATTACGTCTAATCCTTCGACAAAGCATGCATTTCTCCAAATACCATGGGCAAGACATATGGTTTTTTGTAGGGGCGGCAACGGACCCATCTGGGATCTGTGTATGGGTCCAACATTTGAATCCGGTGCGTCAGGTCCGGGTCCAAAACCTGGACCCAAACACTATTCAGGTCTGGTTGGAACCGACTCGCACCCGTAAACTGTTAGAAATAAAATACTTCAAGCCCTATTTGTTTGGGTGTACTAAAGATTGTCAATTCATAATCATCTTTAGTTATTAAACGACAAATACAACGGCTGGAAATCTAATGACTGGTGATTGTGACCTTGTTGCCTATAGTTTGGGTATATGATGGTAAAGAAAGGGCAAAAAAACAAAAAAAACAAAAAAACTCATAGTGAGAATGGCAATAGACCTGACCAGTCCCGAGACACGATGGGTATGAGTATGAGTCCAACTTTTAAACCTGACGGTCGGGTCCAGGTCCAAAACTTGGACCCAAATACATTCGGATCTGGGTTCGGGTCCAACCAGATCCGACCCATACCCGAACTGTTGCCACCCCTAGTTTTCAGTTCTTCAAAATTAATAAACATTTCAAGAACCGTTCAAATCTTGCAGAGAATGTGGGCAAAAAAGATCAAAACCAAATGACCGTCTACTCCCATCTCTGTTGCACTGACTACAACAGAGCACCTTGCATGTTGCATTAGGTTTCCTAATGCAGGGCGCTAGCAAATGAATCCTTACAGACCCCAAAAGTGACTACTGAAACTTGTAACTGAAATTTTCAACTGTCCACACACAACAGATACAGAGTAATAATAGCCCACAAATGAAATACCAAGATTATTTTGTTACTATAATAAAATGGAGTATTGAGGTAATTGCTGAATTTGAAGATCGATTTATTTGGAGGGGAAGCTAAGTAAGATATTGACACAAAAGTACCAAAAACCAAAATATCTTAGGCCCCAGTAAAATGATTCATGAGAAAAACAAAGCAAAAAGTGATCCTTCGGGTGGATAAATGGGATTCCATGCATGATAATCACAACTACTTTGGCATCCATAAATAAGTGACAGCCATTCACATAAACAGATATTTCATAATAAATCGACCTAACCAGTGAAAAACAAGCCTTTGCGAAATCATCATCCATCATAAGTAAAAAACGACTAGGCTGATATTCTCCAAGTCAAACTCAACAAGAGCTCAAAGTTTCAGGCTTGGCCGTTCAGATTTCCCGCATCACCGTTCACTTCAGCACCACTAGTCATTGCAGCACCATCTGCTTTTTGGGAGCTCCTAGGGAGATTTTTAATAACAGATAAGTGAAAATCAAAATCTGCTTTCAACTTACAACACGAGGCTTGGATCCACTTTTCAGCCACACTGGTAGATACACTATCTTGGCTGTCCTTCTCATGTTCCTCAATAACCGGCCTTATTTCATCATACAAAGAATCGAGCTTTGCAGAAGCAGTTTTCCTTGCTTCCTGCAGAAGTGTTCAGAAAGCAGTTTTTAAGAAGAAAATAAGCTTCTTCAATAATGCAGAGCAACGGAACAGAACTATGGTTGTATATGGTAATCAAAGATACATATACCATCCATTCTTTACTGATGGATGGCTAAAGATTAACTGTACATGGCTAACTGTCCCTGTGGGCCCACTTGAGTTAATCCCATCTATACCATAGTGCATTAAACTATACTTTACTTTCCCAATTAATAATGGGAAGCCTTTCTATATGCCACTAGGTATAGGAACAATATATGTGTCCCCCCGCCCTCAGCTGTTTGATCTGATTGTATAGCTAAGATGGCCTTAATCACAATGTCACATCTAGACATTATTTTATATTTAAATTTTTTTCTACAAATCCTATTGACATCTTCAGGGGCAGTTTGGGCATTTCATTTTGTCAGAAATATTGTTTTTAGGTGTGCCCCTATGAGAGGATGACACACCCAAATTTGGCGTTTATATGATTCGTAGAAAAAATAAATAAAAAATAAAATTCTCCGAGCTAACATATTGTTAGAGGCTCTGAAGTTATCCCAGCCATCCACTCAGGTTGGACGGCTGGTAGAGGATGGCATATATGAGTTTCCCACACCTAGTGAAAGGTTTGCCATTATAATTAGTTTTTGCTGAGTAAATATAGAGCAGCCTGAGGCAAAAGGACAATGATAATCCATAAAGCTTAAGTGAATATTAGTCTCCAGTGTAAATTACTTTCTAGACAATATTCCAAAATAACATGGGGTTAGAGAAGGCTTGCCCCAGCCTGAACCTGCCCCTACCACTTAAATGGACCACGCTAGCCCGGCCACTTAAATGGACCATGCAAGCCCAGCCATCCCAAGCGAAGCAGGAAGGTTGGGCCCGAACCCAGTGTGAAATGTTAATACTCAGCCTAGGCCCGGAGCTATCTGTCACAATTAAATTAATTAGGCCTGGCCCCTGACTCTCTCTTTTCTTTTCTCTTCAAATATGAAGAGGATATATAATGTAATGACTAAATTTGTGTCATAAATGATCGCTTGTTCGGTTGGGTAGTCTGCTGATTCTGAAGATTGGCTTTGTCCCATATTTGGAATTCAAATCAGTTTGTAATGCAAATACACCACTGATAGGTTTTGTTAAAAGCATACTAGTGGTTGTAAGTATAATAAAATAGTCCTAACTCAAGCACCAATCAAGTGGTAGCCAAGACGGCAAATACAGGGTTTAGTTTTTCCTAGGATTGAATCTAACCACTAGCATTTCAGTAGAAGACCAAAATTCCCTTAAAGATTCAGTTTTCATCTTACATGTGGAACTTAATAGAAATAAAATGTCTAAATGATGTAACCTAGGATCAACCACTAACTAATCTTCGATTACAAGACCTTAAAACATGGTTGGAGAGTACTTTAAATTCAATTAAGGCTAAATACCTACAATCAGAAAGTATTCAGCCACAAAACAAAATAAACAAACTTACGCAGATGAACTTGCAATTTGAAGCATTTATTTTAATGTCTGAGGGATGGGATTTAGAATCCATAGTGGATTGAAACCTATCCTTAAAAAAAACCAGCTGAAACAAAAATTGATCCTGATCAAATTTAAAGCAAGCCTATGGCCAGGAGAAAAGAAGTCTAGCCTACAGCCAGAAGAGAAGTGGGAGTAGAAACATTTTAAATTTTTCCGGAAGGTCTCCACAATTAGTTCTAGAGTTTTGAAGTTAAAGGGGTATAAAAATATTAGGGTTTTGACTTTAGATACAACATTAGGGATAAAGTTTCGAGGGATTTTATCCAGGATTAATTCTAGGGGGAACCTATGGGTTAATTTAAGGTGGCTGTTTAATTGGGGAATTTTGGTGGTTTGGAGGGTTATGATGAAAGTAAAAATTAGACGAAAAAAATAGGAAGAATAAGAGATAAAGAAAAAATTAATAAAGGAGAAAGAATACTAAAGAGTTCAAGGGAAGAAAAAAAGTAAGGGCAGAAAAAAAAATGAAAGAAACAAAGTAAGACGGTAAAGAAGGAAATAAAAAAGTAAGGAAAGAACGAAAGAAAAGAAATACGACAGAAAAGAAGAGAAGAAAAAATTGAAGAGCACCTTGTAAGAGAGGGACCTAACCAGGCCCATTAAGCCTCCTCTGTGGCCTTCACTCAAAGAGCTCAAGAAGCCCTTCTTTAGGGTTTTTTTCCCCCACCATGTGCTCAAAATAAACATCCTAAGCAGTGAGACATCCCTCTCCATCTTTATACATATTTAGTTAAACAAAAGGAAAATTGTTTCATGCGGGCTGGACCGCATGACTACATATGCGGCCCAAAAAGTGTAAAGCATCCATCTTAAAGATGGATGCAAGTAGGTGTTCCATCAAAAAACAATAGAAACAAACGGTCCAAATGTTTTTTTATTAGAATTATTATTTCTAGTTTTTAAAATTTACTTATTTTTTCATATTCATGTTTTCCATATTAGAGATTACATGTTCCTAAACATTAAGTCCAAAAATCAATCTCAAACATAGATTTATTAATCGGCCCGCATTTCTACATATGTGGGCTTGGCCACATAGAAACCAGGTCCTAAACAAAATGGCTTAAAATACCCCCAATTAAAATAAAATACTCGAATAACCAAAGTGCTCCTAAATTCTCTGCATCTCCCGAAGGCATAAATATCAAATTAACAAAATATAAAATCCAAATAATTGTGGTATCATACTAAAAAAATTACAACTAGAAAACTAAATATTTAATAAAAGGCTAAATTAAACCGGTCCTATAAAAGGCCGTAGTACCCTCATCAATTCTCCTTAAGTTGGAAGGAACTCAACTCTGTCGACATGCTTCCATGCAACATTGTTAAAGATCCTCCCGCTTCCTCTGTAACTCATGCTCATCAATCCACAAACAATCAGTCAAGGTAGATTTTTCTAATGAACCAAGTATCGCTTGTATGACCCACAACATATATCAATGGTCCAAACATCCACCACATCCTCTATCTCGTTCCTGATTAGTTCCCAGTAGCTCTGCAATCTCCAGCGAACCGGCATCCAATTATACATGTGAGTCACCTCAAAACTTGCAGAGATCGGCAATTTTAAAGATCAATGAGATGTGAGTCAAGAAGTTAGGTGATAATGCCTATACCCTAGACTTTCCAGAGTTCTCGTGAAGATTATGCATAATTAAGTCGCATGGAACAAAAATCCATCCTAAAGAACAAACATGGAAAATACAGATCTACACCAGTAGACTCTCAAGATTCCCATATAGGACCAAGTATGAATCAATAACGTATTGGTGGTCCTTAAGGAACTCAAAACCCAGCACAACACTGTATGAGACAATGTTCCAAGAAGGAACAATCGACGACTCAAGGAATCCACCACTTTATCATGAACTCCGAATTTGTGCAGCGGTAAACATGTATTCTTGTAAGAATGTGATCAATTTGGAATGTCGGCTACTTAATGCAGATTAAGAGTCAATGCCTCAAACTACCTCTGAATCAAACAAACCCTCCATCGTCAAAGAGCCTGAATGATTGCATAAAATTGGAAATAGTATGTCGAGTATAGAGAACAAGCATCGTTTAATGCCACAGTTATCCCCAAGGACTTCGTACACCCCACACCAGGTCTCCTCCACCGATGCGCACGGGATCTTGATCTCTTTTGAATCTCAACAAATGGAAGCTAAGGTTAAACCCTCTTCTTCAAAATTTGCGTGCCTGCGTGTGCATAACATGGGGATTTTCCTCTCTAAGTATGTGGGGCTTGCCCCCTTTCTTTATTGACAACCTAGGGACGTGCCCCCTTTCTTTCTTTTCTAATCCTTAAGAGAGTATGAGAGAAAGAGGGTGTGCTACCCAAGGAGGAAGATAGAGAGAGAGAGAGATCAAATTAGGTGTGGGTAATGGACCTCCCAATGTGATGTATTTATCACAGACGGGCTAGGGTTTGGAATTTAGGGTATAGCCATATTAAATGGAGATTCGATCTTTACTGTAGATCATAGGTGACCTGGGCGGTAAGAGATCTTAACCACACAATCCTTAAATCAGCCATCAAGATCTAAAGGAAGGTGCTAGAACCTTATCTCTCAGTTTCCTGTGCTACTATTTGTTCCTCAAGGAAAGGCTTTTAGATGGAAAAGTATATATGTCATTTAAGAAGGGCTACAATTGAAAATATTTTGTTACAAGGGATGCGAGAGGAAGACTAATATTTTAAGAACGGTTTGGTTGTTGATGATATGCTACCATACTCTTTCCCTATCCTTCACTAGTGAAGGTACTCCAACATCTTGTTCTTGACAAGTAGTAGATATGGATTTTTAACGATATGTATTACCTAGGGAGGACTTCTATTTACTGGTGGACAGTGCTTCAATTCTAAAGAAGGAAACGATGTAAAAGTGACAAGGTAGTAGGAAAGATGATAAACTGTCAGGAAGAAGGAAAGTAGCAGATAGAGAAGAAATAAGAAATAAACTTTCAGGAAGAAGTGGCAAGAGCAGAAAGCAAGAGAGAAGCATGAAGGAAGAGAACAGAGGGAAAAGCAGGACAAAAATCCCAACTTGAGAAAAGTCCTTGGGAGTTGAACTACAACCTTTTTTTATTGTGAATCAGTGGGGATGACGATCCCCTACCCAACACAAGGACTACCCAGACTACCCACCTTTGTATCAAAACTTGAAACAGGAATTGTGCTGAAACCTGATAACATCCAGTATTTAATGTTTAATGGAATATCTTTCGTGATCAAATAAACGTGTTGGGTCATAATTTCGCGCACAGCACAAATTTGAAAGCTAACTGCACTGAGACTAAAAAATCTATTCTTTACTCAAAATAACCCATCAAGATTTCTAACATCACACTCAAGTCCTTTTGAACAAGTGTTGACAAATACCATTCTAACCCAACTTGGTTATCTGATGTAATGGGTGTGATAACAAGCAACCACTTAAAAGATAATGACAGAGAAGTTAATGACAGAGAAGTGCCACCAAAAGAACACTTCAAACAGTAATATCAACTACCAGATAAAGGGGAAAGGGGCTGGGGTCGTGGTGGTACACCCTAGTCACCACGTTGTGGTTTCCATTCCCACCACTAACAACACCCACTAATACCTTCAAAAAGCAACTCCTATATCTACTTGAAACAACGGGTAGGGGCCTGTCTTCCCCACTAAATTACCCAAAAAAAGAACTACCAGATATAGAAATGCAGTGGTTCCAAACTCCAAACAAACACCGACACCCTTTCCATACCAAAATCAAGAAAAAATAGAATTTAATACAAGCCTCTTTATTTTACTCAGGAGTAAGCTACCGAGACATCCATAAAACAAGGGAAGAAATGCACAAAATAATTTCAGTTTTGATTGATTACATGCCAGATGAAGCATATAAAGAACCCAACCTATAAATATTTATCCTACTATTGCTGAAAAAAGATAACACAGAAACTTTACCTCCAAGGCCAAAATTTCTTCTTGGGTCTCTTTTAATGATAACAGCTGACAGATACCTTCCCCATTAACCTCCTTTTGGGTAAAGTTCTTTGATTTTCCAGAAGAATAGTGATTTAAGTTTTTGGGCACATGTCGATGCTGTATGTGATAGTTGCGGCAAGCACTGTTACTTCGAATACGAGATATCAATGCATTCTTAGGAGGAAAACTTTCGTGGGTATTCTGTGAGTAATTTTTAGTATGTTCACTAACTTCAACTTTCACTTCTTCATTCATTATATTACCTTCCATAATATCTGAAGCAGTGGGCACGATTGCATTCTCTAGGGAGTGAGTGCACACCTCAAATTCTGGATAATCATCTGTTTTCATAAAATAATCATCCTTCGTCACAGCATTTTCCTCTGTATCTTTTAATGTATCAGTAATCTTGAAGAGTTTGGAGGTGGGTTCATCCTCCTCAGAGTCGTAAAGAGGAATGTTCTCGACAGAGTATCTGCAGAAAGGCAAATAGTACAAATTTGACTGAACAATGATTTTAAGGTTCTGTAAAATCAAAAAACAACTTCAAACATTATATATGCTGCAGCATCATTAGGAATAGTAATCATTGAAGCCAGTCAGACGATTCCCAACAAGACAAACTGTTTTTCTCTACAAACCATCTTTAAGAAGTAAGAATTAACAAAATGACCAATTCAGTTTGAATGAACAAAAAAACTTTTATCAAGCTTACATATTCATCTGGTATACTGATAAAAAAAAGGAGGCATTTTTCAATCTACAAAAAATGTAATCACGCCTTGAGGACTGTTGAAAAGCATCCTAAGAATGTGCTCCATATGGGAGAAAGATAACAATATAGATCAATAAAACCCAGCAGTTTGTGTATACAGAAGGCTAGACAAGCCCTCGAAACAGCAGAGCAAAAGATAGCCATGAATGGTCTAAACACTGCTATATCTATGGTGTAAAATTCAAAAACATTTACATAAAAACCTGATTCAAGCATATGCATATAGCTCACTTGGAACAAATTACAAAAATATACCAATGCAAAAGACTCATAACTACCACAAATGTGGCCGAAAACAAGGTCCAAGACACACCTCTAACTTGCCGCCACACACTTTTCCAAAAACTCAATTGAGATTGCTAACAACATAACAATTTACACTTAAACAAAACTCTATACAAGTATAACAAGTGTAGTGCTAAGACATATACAAGCGTTAATACAACACTAAAAATGCAATCTCAATTCTGCACATGCATCAACTTATATGTCATTGAAGTCATAAAGCAAAATGGACCATGGGAAGCCTTAAAATCACAAGAGTAAGTTGCCAAAAGCAAAATGAACCATGGGAAGCCTTAATATCACAAGAGTAAGTTGCCCAAGGCAGCCTCAAGGGAATAGTACAACCCATTGCTGGAATTCCAGTTTTCCACCATTACTAGCACCGGGATCCAAGGCCTACCAAGCCCAAACTTTGGGAAGCCTAAGAAGATTTCAAACTCTCACTAAAGGGATGAATAAGAACCTATATGGGATAAGTAGAACTCTTATAGATCAGTGTGCTAATGTGCTCCGAAAATACGCCAAAATCACCTATACCATTAACAACACATGAAGCAGTGTGTTATCAATCAATGGATCTCAATGTGGGTGCCTATGGTAATCCAAAAGGGGTTAGACGGAGACTGAAAATGGCACTCTAAATCGCTGGTTACGGCCACAAGGAGGTTCATTGAAGACACAAAGAGAAGGGAAAGAATGTCGTGGTTGTGTCGGAGGCTATGCAGTACTAAGAGATATGCATTATGGACCATAAACAGCTCAACAATGGCTACAGCTCAATCAACACAAGAAGGAAATTAATGAAGTGGGGTGTGAAAGACTAAGTGCACTTTCAAGAGAAATTTGGGCAGTATAACACTAGAATAGAATCGATTGAAAATGAGCCTCCCATGCCCTTTATTTATAGACGAGAGCAAGGGCTTTATAAGGGCCTAGACGCTTCTTCTTAAGAAGGAGCAATATGGGCCATTAATTTACGAACTCCATGGGGTAAAGCCATCCATCCCTTGATGAGCTATCATCAATCAAAAGTTGGGATTAAACACCTTATCCCCTAAATTTCCAAACCTTAATTTCTTTTGATCTCAAACTATACATAATTCTAGATTAACTATCATATTAGCGCTTAAAATATCTAGATATTTTAATTTTTCACATTATGCTTAAATTGAAAAACGCAAAGAGAGAAGATGGAGGCATGTCACATAAGGAGACATTCTCTCTCCTTTCACATGAAGGAAGAAAGGAAATATTCCAAAAATATCTCCTTTACATCTTTAACCAACCCACACATGTGACTAATTAAAATAAAACATGTACATAAGATAACTTTACATATAGGATGGGTCTTAGGTGACATGTCTAGCCTTAGCCAATATCCAAAATGCCTTTTGAATTACATCACATCACATCTGGCTAAATTACAATAACAAATCACATCACATCTGGCTAAATTACAATAACAAATTGCCCCATAACAAATAAAAGTATGACAAACAAATCAAAGCCTCCACATCATGGTGATGTCATCACTTGGTGGCCCACCAAGTGGGCCCCATTGCTCATGTGGGGTCCATTGCCCACTTGGAAACGACATGTGCTATGGTTCCCACCTACTTGGTCCTTACGTGTCCTTCTTGCAGTTGGAATTTATGGCCAATTTCTCTTTTAGAAAAATCCCTAAATTTCTAAAAATTCTCAAAAATTGTTACTATCATAATTAATAAATTCAATTTGCTTTGGGCTCCCAAGAAAATTATCAACGGGAACTAGGAACCATGGGTTTGGAATCAATGAACTAGGGCACTGCACTTGGCTTAACTCGGAACCCCTAACTACTTCCTCAAATCAAACCAACAGGACCAATGACCCATAGTTTCCAGAAGAGGCTCACGATTAGCCGATCAAAGCCGACAAATAGGTGGTGGGATTCTAAGACTTAGTGGATTATAGGTGCACCCCCAAAACAAGTACACTAAGCACCACACCCGAGGATGCGAGAGTTCAACACTATGCACATGTGCACGTCCTTCGTCAGGGCTCCCCCAGGAAGGCATCTTCCTATAAAACGCAAGTGCCTTAGGCACATGCCGTAGATGAGGCTGTGTCGAGGATTTGGCCCTTGCCCTTATAAGCCACTCTTCTACAAAGGAATACTCTATCCAGGCTCCGATCACAGGCACACAGCAATCGCAACTGAGGGATTTCACAATAACGATAGAAGTTATTGCCCAAATCCCTCTGAAGCCAACAAATCAACCAAGGGTACCAGTCACACATTATTAAGGCAACACAAGCTAAGTAAGGTAAACAATCAATCTCAATGAATCAAAAGGTAGTCCATCAACCAACAAAATATGTTCTTACAGACAACATAAATGTAATACATAATTTTAAAACCCAAAACAAGATACAGAACTAATAAGCCTGGTGAGTCAAGGATGAGTCAGCTCAGCAAGTCCGCCCCAGGTCCCAAGAAAAGCGGAAAAAATGTCCCAAGAAAGGAAAAATTAGGTTATTAGCGGTAAACAAGAAAAGCAAATAAAATGTGTTTATCTAGAGAAAGATAAAAACCTATTTAGATATCGAGGGTTATAAACAGTTTTTGGCATGTTCCACTATGGGGCATACATTCAATTGTCCAATTAAATTGTTATTACAATATATACTACAATTTCGAAAATATGTTATAAATGTTATCACATATCAATACCCTCATTCATAAGAGCATACAAATTACAAATACAAATTCAAACTTCAAAGTTTTAAACTAATTTCAAGTTCCAACAACTCTAAATTAACAAGTCAGATATCGTGTCACAACTAACAAGTCAATTGAAAAAGATTCCATTGTAAGCCCTGAGTGAAAGAAGCACATACTACATAGAGTTGACTTGACTATTGGAGTCACAACTCACAAAAGAATAGAAAGCACTAAAGTATAGCAATAAATGACTCAAACTACTGCCAAAATGAATGATGAGGAGAATCACAATCATCTCGGCCATCTTCGTACTGGTTCAAGAATGACTTTAGTGGTTGGGTAGCCTGAGTAGCCCCTCCTAATCCAATGTCCCTAAGGCCAATCCAACCCTTGTGCTCGCCCCCACCACAGTCCTCATGGTAACTCGCACAGCCCCTTATGCTACACTGTCCACTTCAATGTTGTCATCAACCCCAACACCCCCTCCTTCCTTTCCTCCATTTTCCCATTGTTCCTTCATTATACAATTGTTTCCACTACTGCACCTTCATCCCCACCTTCCATTCCCTCCACACAGATAGGCCCCATCTCTTCTTCAAGTATCTCCTTATTAAGAACCGACACCTCAATTTCCACCAACCACCCAGTCAAATATTCTACAAAGATATGGTCAAAGTCAACTGCATCTTTTAGAGGTTTAAGAAGTATTAGATGTAAACTAGCTAGTGAAGTTCGGTTGCAATCAACCTGTTCTCCTTGGCATGTAGATCTATTTGAATGTATTACAATTTTGCTCACACACCATTGCGGAACAGGCTTAGCTGGGCACCTCAATCGCAAGTTTTTGTAGGTTGGAAACCGAAGGGCCATTTAGATCCCACCACCTTGCTAGATAAATGATAAGGATCTCACAAATAGACAAATATCCAAAAATAAAAAATGTCTAATAGAATAGTATAGATCCATAGAAACTTGAAAGTCAACTAGTTCTAATAGAATGTGAGATCTTCGCCAGGCAGCAATGTTCAAGGAGACCGAGGCCGCTGCCCAAGCGATTGGGATTCCTATACACCTGAGTGGTTCCACTGGTGCCCAATGACCAGGGCAGCCATTGTGTAGGGCAGGAGAGAAAGAAAAACCAGGAGGGAGAAGGACTATTGGAGGGTTAGAAACAAAGCCAAATATAACCAAAAATATATTATAAATTTTGAAATGTGCATTACCAACTGCTTTTTACTTCTCCAAGTTACATGGTCAGCTCCATCAAAAGTGCAAGGGCCTGATATAGGGAGCAAGATCCCTATTTCTATAACCCAGCTCCCTCTAAGATCCCTAAGAGGAAGACCAAGTTCCTAAGGTGGGACCGTGGCCTTACCCCCACGGTTCCCGCACCTATGCATAAATTTCAGCAACAAAGGACTTTCCGATAGAGAAGAGGTTTCAAAGAATGATTTAGCCATTGTGATACAAGAAAATTTTATAAAACAGTAAAATTAGCAAGAAACAAAGCAAACACAAGTACAATTCAAAGAAACCTAGGGTTTATTCTCCATACCCCAGCCTAAGGTTCCAAAAATCTAAGCTTTTCTCTCTTTCAATCAATGATTCAAAAAGCGGTCCGCCCAGCGCCTAGGCGAGATGGGGGCCTAGGCGCACCGCTTAAGCCTGGGCAGACCAACTAGGCGGGCTGTCCCTGGGGATCGAGGGTACCTAGGCGAGCGCCCAGGGGACTGGGGTATTTCTGGCTTTTTGTTTTTTTGAATTATAAAAAAGGCATGAATATTGCATATTTTTTACAAAATATGTAACTAAAACAAGGTTACTAAACACCATTTGCCCCCTTTTTAACCTAACCGCCCAGGTTCTATCCCCTTGGCCGCCTAGGCGCCGCCCGACGAATCTCGATATGCATATTGAGGAATCAATGCAAAATTATCAAATACGGCAATCCTTGAACTCCAACTGAAAATAGTGTAGGAAATTTCATACCTAATTTTCTAGTCTTTAGAGGTGTTCTGGACATATACTTCATTTCTTCTCAAATTAGGCTCACAATTGGTGGTATATGAGTTGACCAAGTTTCATCTGCACTACTCTGATTCCAAAAGCCTATATTTCTTGAATGCTCTACCTCTTCGATATTAATGAGATGGCCATGATTTGGATCAATCCTACAACCTTCTCTCCATATTCTTCACATTGTTCTAGAATATCTTCATCATCATCTTAATCCTTATCATAGATCAAATCTCTTACGATCTTGTTTTTCACATAAGTATGTATCGAAGATTGGAGGTAAATCCCAATCTACAACTTGTTGATTTTCGATGCAATCTATGTCAAAATCAAGAATCTCATCCTCGAAATTGAAAACCTTAGAGCGAGGTTCCCCGGTCCAGGTCATCTGTCACAATCCTCATCACTCGACTCTCTTGTCTGAAAGATCATAGTCTTGCCCATTATTGATGCTTGCAAACTAAGACATCAGTTGCTGAACTTGCCTTTCAAGTTCCTCAATTTTGTCATCAATGGGAACACGAAGCAGATCTACAAAACCCCCCACTCCCATTGCACAACCCTTTCTTGCCGCGATGAAATCGCCGAAATCACAAACCCTAAGCAAATGATCAACAAAAACTTGTTGAAATCAACAAGATCTAGAACTTTGGCCAAAATCATCAAACCCTACTTCCCCTCCTTGTTGTTGATCTAGGGCGCTATAAAATCTTTTTTGTACAATGGTACAATAACTTCGTACAGTGTTGTCGAATATTCTATGTAGATCACAGGCTCTAATACCAAATTGATGCAAGAAAAATTGAGAAAACAGTAAAATCGGCAAGAAACAAAACCAAACACAAGCATATTTCAAAGAAACCCAGGGTTTCTTCTCAATACCCCTCAAGGCCCCACACACGTTTTATATTTTATGATTTAATGTCCCAAGTAAAAGAAAAAGTCCGAACAAATAATATATTGACTCATATATCCTAACTTTAAACTTAAAATTCGTAATGACAACTTTACCCCTATGAAAAGTACCTGTGATCAGTACTTGTGAATAGTACTCATGAAATAAGTAAATAAAATATAAGAACCCAGGAATTTCTAAAAAAACTAAAGAACCCTAGAAATAAACCCTACAACTAAAACTATAAGATACATCCTTTGAAATTGAATAAAAATTAAAAATAAGAATAATTTCACCCTCTATCACATTGCAAAGATAGAGATTTAATATAAGAGAGAGAGAGAGGGAGAGATTTGTGTCTCAATAGAAATGGAGAGAGATTTTGGTGTTTTTGGATTGAAAGATATAGAGAGAATATTTTCAATAACAGGAAATATATATCACATTTCAAGGGTAGATTGTAGCAAGCAAAAGAGATATCTATTAGGGCTTCGGAAAGTTGCCTCAAACCAAGATTTAGGAAGCCAAATGCTTCAATCTCAATGGAGAGAAGATAATGAAGGTCAATAGGAAGGTTAAGTTTTCGTTCCAGATCGATGAGGTGATCAGCGGGTAAGGTTGTTTCTTCTTCCTTTTTGCTCAGCTGTAATGCTTTGATACCACGTTAAGTTTTTAGAGAGAGAAGAACGAAGTAATGTTTATTTGAATATCTCATAAGTACCTATCGAGTATGAAGGGTAGTAAAATGACAGAGTTACCACCATACAAATAACAAACAACAATAAAACACAACAGAAATCAACATGTATTATACATATATCTTAATAGTGGAGAATAAGTATATTTTTTACATATATAGTAGATAAGGATTACAATGCATCGCTCCTTGTGGAAACATAGTGGACTCATGGATACGCTTCACCAATATTCGCCAACACAAAATATTGAGGGTCCTTTCCTTAATTCCATATGGAACATCCAATGATGGAATATTCATGCAAAAGGAAAAGAAAAGCATTGGGCGGATCTTTGGAAAATTCTCTAGTGATATCTGAATTGGATATATAGGTGGAAAGATTTCTTTCCTCACTGTGTGATGCCTGTCATTTGTCCTTCTATCACCTTCACTCACTACTCCATACCATCTGTGTGTCTAATTTAACAAAATATTTTTGGACTTAATAGAAAAGCAATAAAAAAATATGCTAGATGGCTTGCAAGAAAGTTATTCTATCACATATTCCATACTAGGGAATCTGCAAATAAAGCATCCAGAATCCCTTTGTGAGCATTTCAATCTTGTTACATACCATTATGTAACAGGTGCGGTTTGTATAAGGCCGAGGCTCTAAACAATCAAAGTAAAGCGCATCTTCAAATAGTGTCAAGAAATTTGGTTTTAATATTGGAAATATTTGTGATAGCCTTAAAATATATTTTCAACTCTAATTATAAAATTTAAAGCTTAAAAAATAGTATAGATCGAGCAGATCTATGAAAACTTGAAAATCATGACAATTGAAGGTCCAAAAATGTATCACAAAATGCACTATTTCCAGAACTTAAAATCCAATTTTTTCTCATGTCCATGCATCTTGAGATCGAGATGATCAAATTGAGGATATTTGGGCATCAAAACAACTTCTTCTAGTAAAATTTTTGAGGTGTGCCCTAATTTGATTGTTTAAAGCCTCACACTTATATAAACGTTTTCCTTATATAACATGTAAAAAGCAAACAGTATTTGATACAATATTAAGTGAAACAACGCAAACCAAAAGGAATATCCTAGAGACCATACTATCTAATCAAGCAACCATAGTAAATGACAAATCCACTTGATAGATTACAGGAGCATTCGATATAGAGTACACATCGGAACTTCAATTCTCAAATTCTAAGATAACAGAGAAGCAAAAGAGAGAAGAAGATTGGCAGTACCTGTCATCATCATCTTCCCAAAGATATGTATCTTCCTGCAAACACAGGGCCAAACACGAATCAACTATTACACGAAATAGTCAACAAGTACAAATAGCAAAAATAAATGTATTCGGAGAAAAGAGTAATTGCAGCTGAAGTGGAACACTCCTCAATGGTTCCAACATAGAGTAACTTACCAACTACTCTCTCTCTCTCTCTCTCTCTCTCTCTCTCTCTCTCACGCACTCACATAAATAAAAGTTAAACTGATAGGTGTGGCTGTGTAGAACTCTGAAGTATAATTTTTTTTATTAATAGCTGGAATATCTTCGACTGACAATTGCTACAATACAATACATAAATAAAATCTACAACAGTCTAGGATCTTTAAATCTCGTTGTCAAAAAAAACTTTATTTAAAAATGAACTCGAACTTACCACTTATGAAATAAATAGTAAATAGGAACAGCATAATAAATAAAATTGAGAAGACTTGTTAAAATATCGTCTAGGGTTATCCTCTTAGGACATGGCAAACCCTACACCCAATCATATGACAGATGGCGTACTTGATCCTTAGATCATGTTGAATCCACCAATCTGAACTGAGCATCTTTGGAACACCCTTATCTGAAATCCATAGGGTTGAGAGTATGGGTCATGATTAGGGTTTCTTAGATCCTTTTCAATCCTTAGGGCATATGCCACTAAGTGGCACCCCTAGCCTAGGTAGGGCGTGCCCCATTCTCTTTCAGTTTTTTTGAGTCATGCATGAATCCCAATGTCCTTATGAGGGTGGTGTGCCACCTAGAGAGGATAAAGGGAGCTAGAGAGAGAGAAAAGAATGGCATGGATAGGAGAGAAAGAGGGATGAAGTGTGTGTAGAAAATGTGGGGGGGCATCCCCTCCTTATATAGGCCTCAAGAGCCTTAAGGTGTTCCAATTAGACCAGGATTCAACATGAACAAATATTTAGGTAATTTGTAAGGTTAGAAAGAGAAATAATTTGTGCCGTCCATCCCTGATATCAGCCATCATGATTTAGGGAGAACTTCAAGAACCTTATCCCCCGAATCTTTTGACCCATATCTATTTCTAGATAAGATAGTTTTCTTTTTTAATTTGAATTCTAATCAAAGTAGGAGTCTTAGTCCAAGTAGGAATCCTAATCCAAATAGGCCTCCTAATATAATTAGAACTCCTCAAATAATAAAACATTACTTTAAATTTAATTAGGGGCATCCCACTTTCTGTGACGAATATGTGGCCCTTCTGGGCCCCACTTCCCACCCAATGTGGCCTACCCACGTGAAGGAGCTAGGCCCCTAGCCACCCACGTGGATTCCACAAAAACATTAAGCCCCTACTAAATTGTAAATTATCAATTTTGCCCTCTCTAAAATTTTCACAGTAAAAGAGAAATTTTCAAAACATTTCTAAAATAATACATAATCATAATTAAAGCAAAAAAACAATATTTTTAGGTTTTTAGATTCAAAAAACAATTTTGAGGTTCTTATAAAAAAAACCTCAAAAACACTAAGAAATACATCTAGATATGAATCAGTATCAATAGATCAAGAAAAGTGACTGCCAGGGCACTCCACCCAAGCCAAAAACTATGATCCACAGCTATCTTCTCAACCCAACGGGACTCGTCAGATGCAAGTATTACTATAGTACAAGGGGGACTTTCTCCATGCTCATGTACGCATATAACCCTACAAAGTTGCTTCCAAAAACTATGGTTGTCATATGTACATACTGTGCGGAAGTTTTGAATAGGATTTAGCTATTACTCTCACAAGCTTACATCCGCATGCAGGAGACTAAAAAACTCTGCTGGCCTACAAACCATCATGGGGCATCTTTCTGACCTTAACAAATGATGAACCTCCAGAACTCAAAAGTAGTGCCTATGCCCAAAGGAAAGGGTTTTGAACATGAACCAGACCATAGACTGCCTAAACCTATGCCAGTCAACAAATCATACACTCCCACTAAAGTGCACAAATCACAATCATTTATTATACTTACATGCTCTCACGGGCATTAAAGGCCACAAATCCCATCACAAAATCTCAATACATACTAAAGTGAAACTATTATAGATGGCATCAAGAACATTATCAACTGAGTCTATGAGATTTGACCAGTACAGTATAGACAACATGCCTAGTTTGCATTACAAGGAACTCTCATATTGAGATGCAGTAACCCACCAAAACAATTACGGTCTCAGGCAATAGGTGTAGAGTTGTTAACTATTGAGTACAAAATGTGGACTCCTTATGCTGCGAGTTTGATGTGCTATACGCCTAGCTGCAGTCTTGATGCCGGAGCATCACTAAATTTAAAAATTCAAAAAAGAAAACACCTGCCCCTCAACAAATAAGGGCCAATACAGTTCTTTAGTGCAACAGTTGGTATCACAATTTTTTCCTTAATCTAGTGGCACCCCCTTTCTTATTCTGAGGGATTTGTAGGAATTCTAATCTAGCATTTGTGTCCAAGATATCTTCTGTTACAGTCACTTATAGCCCGATAAAGTGCAACACGAACATATTTTGTCTCTATTCTCTAGTGCAATTAACATGTGAAATAAATTGATCAATCCCATGTATTAATTTTTAAATACAAGACAAAAGAGTCAGCTATACCAAGTTACAAACCAGGCACTTAAATGATAAAATAGCATCCAGCAACTAAGTACCGTGACACATATAGCCAAAACCAATAATGTCAAATACTAAAGAGTGCAATTGCACTTCACAAGGACATAAACTCCGGATACCAAAGTTCATAACATAGAAAAATAAAAAATACGCTCAATGAGATGAGTCATATCATGTACATCTCCTTCTATATCTCAAACCAAAATCAACTCAAACATTCGCCTAAAGATTCCACAAACATTGTCAAAATCATTGAAGTCGAAAAAAGAAAATAAAAGTCAATTCTCGATTTTTTGCATTCATCGCCTTAGAACCACGAATTTGGTTCAAAGGGCTGAATTTTTATTTATTTTTATTGTGGGAGGGGGAAGGGGTGGGGGAAGGTACCATACTGCCCCCGCTCGTGGCGGCGGAACACATAGTCTAATTCACCTGCATATGCAGGGGACATGTAGAATATGTGCGAATCATGCTAACCCACAAACGCAGGCACATGCAATGCGCCCAAGGGTATATCCACATTTGATGGGGCCGCATAGAGAGATACAAGGCTGCATTTGATTACTATGGTTCAGAAAAGGGGGTGCCAATATCCAATGCAGGTGATGGAGGAGACTTTCAAGGCAACGACTCAATGAGCACGCGAGCAACTTAGTAGATTCTCTCACCCGTGCAATGATTGACTACTTGATCCATGTGCCGAGTACTTGGGCCCAGCACCCTGGCAAGCCCAAGTTACCCCGAGTTGGGTGTCCCACTTAGGGAGATTAAAAAAATTCAAAAAATAAAAAAAAATCCGAAAGATTAAAGAATTTATTTTTGATGTGTTCTTTTATATTTTCTATCATTTTGGCAAAGATTGGAAAGTGATTCAGCCAGAAATACTTATTTTCACATTTTCCCATCTTTTCTGAATTATTTGGAAAATACCCCCAGTCACAAGGTGATTTTTTAAAGGAAAAAGTTTATATAAGGTAGCACCTTTAAAATGTAGAATTACATGTGCACGTCAAAAATCCATTCAAAAAGGTTGCTTTAATGGTGAAAAACCTTCTAATTGATCATCTCGATATCGAGATATAAGAATACGAAAAAAAAAAACAAGATTTTGAGTGCAAGAAACAATGCATCTTGCAATACATTATCTAAACAGTCCATTTTCAAGATTTTCATATGTTTATAGATTTACTTGATTTTAACTACTTTTGGAGTTTAAAATTTTATAATTAAATATGAAAATAGATTTTGAGATAATCCTAAGATTTTTTTTACACCAAGATTACATATTATGATAAAATTTAGAGGTGCGCCTTAATTGGATTGTTTAAGGTTGCAACCTAATACAAACCTCACCTTTTTTAAAAATCTATTTCTTTACTACTTTTTTAACCTCATTTTGAAGTGTTTTGCCAAATTTTACTTTTTCAAATTCTTGTATGTTTTAGAACTTTTTTAACCTTTTTTTTGCTGCTATAGTACTCGGCACTACTTAGGCCGAGTACTCGGATTGGGCATGGGCCAAGTACTCACCCCGAGTAGTGTTCTCCAACACTGGCGACAAGTACCTCAATAGATAGAATTTGGGTGTCAGGCAAGAAATATTATTATTGGGTGGAAGTAGAAACTTTTTATTAGAGGCAAAAATAGTGAACTGATAGTGATTGCTCATCTTTACAAGCAAACCTTGTGCGGACCAAAAATCTCCAAGGGATGTATGCAAATAATATTTCAAAGTTGGAAGTTTTGTTAAAAGCATTAACTTTGTACTTTGCTCTTGGCCATCACTTATTGCGTGGGAGATATGCTTTTTCCTCTACAAAATGCTCTCACTATTCTTCCTTTCTTTTTCACATAAACCATTCGTCATATTCCTTTCCTGATTTATATGGACAATTCGATCAAGCATAACAGCTCAAATGAACACAAATTTTATCCCATCTTAAACCTTTTTATTCTAAAAACTGTGAACATCTAAGCTCTCTCTCTCTACAGTGGCCCAAGGACAACTGGCAGACATTGACAACTCTTTCCCTCAGCGTAATTACCCAGGTTTTAATTTCTCTCTCTTCATAGAGAAACTAACATTTTCCTGGAGAAAAAGCCTGCCTTTGCACTAGTAATGAACTGCTTCAACATATGCAGGTGACAAGCAACAACACATCCATTGATACATACTTAACATAGCCTCCAATCGATTTATTGGGTGGGAATCCGAGAATAACAGATCCACAACCACAATAAATATTATAGAACTAGGGGCCCTAAACGACACACTGTCTAACTACAGATTGGACTGGTGGCTGGATGGCTTGGCTACATATCTAGAATTTGCCAGTTTAATAATATTTATTAAATTATCTTCTAAAGATATTTTCACACTAGTTTCTCATTCAGAAAGCATAGTTGCCGGAATATCTCGCCCAAGGTCGCGGTTCCAATTCAAAATCCCCATTCCACGATTCCAACAAGGAATCTTCACATAATCCATTTTCATGAAGTCAGGAATCTCAATTCCAACACTTATAGCATATTGTTTCCAATATTTATCAATTTTCGTTTCCACAATAGTTGAATCTTAATTTCAAATTTGTTGAATTTGGATTCTACATATAACGATGCTATTTCCATCAAATTAGAAACACAAACATAGGGCCAAGAACTACAAAATAAACAATTCAGAACCTATAGGAAGCATCAAAATAGAAACTCATTTCCAAAGATATCAGAATCTCGATTCCATATATGAAGGAATCCCGATTCCATGTGGCCTGCTTCCAAATAGCTATGAAAACTGATCCCAAAGATGACGGATTCTCGATTCCATATATGTAGGGATCCTGATTCCATTTGGGTTGAATCTCAATTTCTATAAAATAGGAATCTCGTTTCTTGCCATTCCACTTGTTACAAACATCATTTATGAAAACATTAATCTTCTAGCTAGCTGCAATTTCGATTCCTAAAACAATTCAGAATCTCAGGTGTTTCCAACAACTGTCACAAAGAGATATGATTTACCCGGAAGAGTCTATGACGAATTCCTACCCAAGAAATGGGGTAAAGGTAGCGGTGTGGATGAAATAGGTCAACGAGTAACTCAATGTGTGCTCAAAAAATGACAAGAAAAATATATTTAGAGACTCCTAAGTGTCTTCAGCCCATATGTGAGTACCTTTGAATGCCATTCTAGATCCACAAAACAAATTTTCGAATCAACTATTTCTTGAAATTTCAAAATTCACAAATTAGGCTTTCATGTTTAACACCAACTCGGAAGCCGCACACATCTCTAGTTGAAGACTAACCCCAAAAAAATCCTAGGAAATTTAATTTTTTACAGTCTAAGTTTCAATCTACAACAGGTATCTGCTCTTGCATTGTTTGATTACTGAAAATTTGACTTTTAGGGCACATTTGGTTAGCGTGAAAATATTTCCCAGCGAAAAAATTCCCTCATGTGGTTTAGGTGTGACAAAATTTTCATACTAGATGGTCGCAATGCATCACACCAATTGGCAAGCTAATTGGTGTGAAAATATTCCCACAACCAACCACATGAGGGAATTTTTTCACGTGAAAATATTTTCACGCAAACCAAATTTGCCCTTAATTGTTCCTTTTTTTCATAATGTTTTTGGTTTCTTAAAAAAAATCGATTTGCATATTTTTAGACTGTATCTCAGCCAAATCTAGATGTTATCTGCTGTTCAATAACTAGATCATGCATTTTTCTTCATTTCAATATTTATTTATGAAATTTTTTTAGCAAGAATTAATTTTGGGATTGTAGTTTTTCCCAATCATTCATAGTTTCTCCAATGTGTTATGGATTTATCGTGAATTATTCTCTTAAGAATTGTTTGCTGCTTTTCAATGTATTTTTTCATTTAATTCAATATTTTCTTTCTTTTTTTTCCTTCTAGTGGTATTGTTGCATTCAGTTTGGGCTAACATCTTTTTCATCAAAATTTAGGACTTCCCAAATTTTTTGGGCATATAAGGCTATCTCATTTATTTTTAGAGCATTCAATGTTCATTTTATCATAAATATGGGAATGAAATTTTTGTTTGGAATTTAAAAGCTTTTTTTTTTTGTTTTTTTTCTGCATGTTTAGGTTCATTTTTTTTTGCTATCTTTATGTATTTGTACGTTCAGGTTGGTCATCCTGCTATCAATTTCATTAGAAGTAAATTGCAGCCAAAAGGGGATCCCAAATTGGACAATGAGGTTAGGTGATATCTTAATAAAAGGATAAGGTTATATGAACTTTCTACGATAAGGATGTGGGTGGCGGTATCAACCACCTTAATCATCACCTCGAGCTTTTTGTGTCACTGTGGATTTGGAGCTTTTCTAGAGCTCCAAATCAGTATTTTTGTGGAAACAGTTTCTGGAGTGTGAAAGAACGTTTAGGACACCACCTCATCTCCCCCATGCCTGACTGCCGTATCCCCCCCTCC